CTATGATAATAGGTTAGCATAAAACAATTACTGAACACCACAGCACATTTGGAACTAGGCCTATCTGAAATATATAAGGTATTCCATTCAATAATAAGGGAGAAAAGAGAATGTAAAATTTATTATTTAAGCAGAGAAATTAGCTGCATGAAAATATCAGTAACTCCAAAAATATAGTAATGTCTTACATACTATAGGGAGACTGTAATAATTGTAGGATGTAACCTTACCAAATAGCCTGCAATATCCTCTTCCTGAATATAGAATATCTATTTTAGTCTTGAATTTACTCTCCACAAGGAAAGGAAAATTCTACCCTAATAAAAAAACTAATCAAAAGTATAAATGGATTTTTTCCATTTCTTATTGAAAATAAACTAAGCTGAAATCCAAAAGTAATAACCAAATAAATGTTATGACCCACCATTCCCGAGACACCATTATTTAGTATTCCAGTAAGTTAGTTCATTCTTCATATGTCACATACATGTGTCACGCACATAATGTGTAAGAAATGAGATGAGCCTTTGTGAAAACTTAACAATGAAGAATAAAAATAACACCTAGTGAGAAATTACATTTAAGTTTCTATGTATACATTGAGACAGAGAGATACTCTTCTATCATAGCTATACCTAAGTGGATCGTCTGCATATCTGGGCTGTAAATTGCATGTGTCTACTTGAGTGAATACCTTTAGGGAGCCAGAACTCTTTGATGGTGTTTTATTCTAAATAAATGGCCAGAACAGAAAGAAGTGTGTTTGGAAATGTAAAACATGGTGATTACAAAGCATTTAAAATACTATCTAACAAACTGCTGTCATCTGACACCAAGTAATACTGACAACTTAGGTGGTACTAAGTTTTACAAAGGCCCATGGTTAGTGGCATGAAAATTTGAGGGAGAAAAAGAAAAAAGAGAGAGGAAAAAAAACATTTCCATTATTTTAATAAAATGATAAAAGTGATAATTAAGTGGAATAAATTAAAGAGTGTTATTCTATTAACAATATAATAAAACCCTTAATTAATATAGCATGTTTTACTTAAAAAATTTGAAATGCTGAGCAAGGGAATTCTAATCTCAATCAGAACCATGCATTGCACAGAAAGAAAATTCACAGACGGGAAATGAAAAAGAGCAGAAAAATAATTTTCCCAAGGTCACAACATTCTTATATGACATAGTTAAAAACTCAACACATGAATACTGACTACAATATAAAATTTTTCTAATAACACCAGACTATTAAAATGGGTTTTTATTAATGTTCTTCTTTTTGATAAGTCAATGGTAGACATGCATTTTCATCTGAATGTCTATTAAAAAAGATAAGCTAGTTTGAGTTTTCTACAAAGTAAGAAAAGGTTTGGAATCTGGTAAGACAAGATATTTTGGATTTCTACAAGTTTTAAAACAAGAGAAAAGTATTAGTATTTTCTATTTCCTTCTGTCTTGCATTTACAACCATGTTGCAAATCAACTTCTCTGTTGAGCAACTTTAGGATGTACAGTATGAGGCTTTGTAACATGAACATTTAAGCATAAACCATCATTTATATCTCATTCTAGGTACTATGTGTGCAGTTTAAATAGGGGCAGGCTTGCAGGAGGGATGGGTTACACTAGCAGGGCTTTCTGAGGCCTACTATCCTTTCCTGCTTTTGGGTCCTCTTTTCCCAGGAGAGTGGAAGGCTAATTTCTCTCCTTCATGCTTTTTTTTCCCCCCTACTAAGGCTGGGAAGAGTAGGCATAGATGTTATCATGAATTTTTATCATGAATTTTTAAAGGTAGAAAAAAAAGGAAATTAGAAATTGGGGTCCACTGATACTTTTCTAGTAATGCAATTTATATGAATTTTGTCTAGACTGAGATCCTTAGAAAAATAGTGTTGAAAAATGACTGTGCCTGCCTAAATTGGTTTTTTACCTTAAGACTTCAGAAACAAAGAGTTTTTGAGCTGGGAGGCATTTCAGAGTGTAGGTCTTTAGTCTTGTCTTTTTGTTTTATATGAGAAAATTGAAGCCCAAAAAGGTTAAATGATTTGCTTAAGTGCCTGAAGGTAGATGTCCTGAAGAAAGCCTAGAAAAGCAATTTACTGCAAATAATACTTCATTAAATTGTAAATTGCTATTGGATTAAATAAATCCTTAAAGAAAAAAATTATATATATTGGCTATTAAACAGTTTTCAGTTTTTAAATTAATCAATGTTAGTAGTCCTACATCAATAGTCTTTGAAAGGAAATTATTTGAGTTGATGCTTTTCCAAGTCCTTTTGAGATCAATTGATATGTTTCAAACATAATATCCCACTGAAGAAAGCTTTATGTGTGCTCATGTCTTGGGATGAATCTTATATCAGTGAGTAGTTATGAAAAATCCCATCGAGGGGTTCACACAGATGACCCAAGTGAAGAGTTAACTGCAGCGCCCCACCTCCTTGTTGTAAATAATCCAGAAAAGCCTTTTTTTTTTTTTTTTTAAGCAATACAAAATGTCACCACAGGCTGACGCTCTTTCTACAAGAATAATGAGATTATTGCTACCTCGGATGCTGAACACACATTTCATTGCCTTTATCTCTGAATTCAGTTTTCGTTTTCCTCTCCTTTCAAAACAGGTAACCTGGCACGCCTAAAATATATCAATGACTGTGTAGCGACTACAGTCGCTAGACCCGGGGAAGCACTTTCACAAACTCGAGTTTTTGACCTCTACAACTGGACACACACTATTAAAACTGCTCCGGAAATGAAGGGTGGCCGGCGGGGAAGTCAGTTACCCCTCTCAAATGAAGCCAGCTATTGGCACCGCATCCCCACCGGGCTCTGTTACTCAGAGGGCTCCGAAGGAGGCGCACTCACTGTCCAAGCCTTGCTTCCTCAGTGTAGACACGGCGCCTTTAGTGCTGTAACCTTTCCCTTTAAAACACACTGATATTGCAATGAGAATTTCGGCAATGCCAGCTCGGTAATTCACAGAAACCACGGATCTGAGGGTCCAGAGCATCGGATCCTCAGATTCACCGTGGCTGGCTGCGGTGAGCCGGGGCTAGCCGCTCGCGGAAAGCGCGCACCTCCGTGCCCCCTGGACACAAGAGCCTGTGGCGCCAAAAGAATCACCGCGCAGGAGGTCTGAAAGCGGAACTTTCCCCCTTTTAGCAGTTAAATGTGTAAAAAAAAAAAAAAAAACCTATCCTGCGACGTGGCCCGCCTGTGACGGCACAGAAAAGGAAACTGGGTATGTGCGTGTGGTCAGGGGTGTGGACGTAGGTGAGATTACATTCTCCAAGTATCGAGAGGGTTAATCGGAAACCAACTCTGGGCGTGTGGACGTTTGCATCTTACAAACCGACATCACCCTTGTCCTCCCTTCTTGAGTCATTCCCTGGCTCCGAAGTGTCCTTTTCTCCATCGGACATGGAATCTCGAAAAAGTGAAATCCACACTGTGCCAGGCCCAAGGGGGGTCTCGCCTTTCCATCTACCTCCCCAGCGTTGTTACACTGGGACACCTGCTTTAAATCCGCTTGAACTATGGTTTCACAGTCCCCGCCCCAGAGCACGAGATTTGTCAGAGAACGCAGACGCCTTTTTTTTTTTTTTTTTTTTTTCCCTCAGCCTCAGAAACATCAGGTGAGCTCATTACCTCACCCAGAAATGTAACTTTAATAAAGAGATCTGGAGAGGGCACTCCTCCCGCCCACACACACAGCAACGGCAGCAGCAGCAGCTCACAAACACTTGTAATCTCTTCCACAGGCTCTGGCCCCCAAACCCCTCTCCCTGCCAGTTCCTGGGAGAGATTCAGAGGCTTTCAAACCTCTTCTGTGACCTGAGCTTGCCGCCAGCTGAAGGGATGAGCACGGATAAAAGGAAGGGAGGTTTTTCTTTGATAAAAACTAAAGAAAAAGCTAAGAACAAACAGGCCAACATACCAGGAAGTAGGAGTTTAACTGGCAACTGTCTACGCAGGGATAGAAATAAAAACTTCAAAGAAAAAAAAATCCCCCAAATTTTCAGTTTAGGGGAGCAAAGGAACCTGCTGCTCTGTCAGGCAACTGTGAGCGCACAGAATACCCTGTAAGGAACAACTTGTGTCAGCCGCCAGGCGGGTCTGAGGATACCAAAGCCAGCGGACGTCCCCGAGGGTGCGGAAAGGGATTTCCCGCGAGATATTTTAGTTGTTGGGAATTTTGCCTTCCCCCCCCCGCCCCATCTCTCTCTCTTCTAAGACTCAGTACAGAACTGAGAACTGAGGTTCTATGAGCAGGTCCTGGAAATTCACAAGCGTCTCACTGAGGTGTCTCCCAGACCTAGCTACTAATTCCTGTTCAGGCTGTGTTATCTGCCTGCGGTCACCCTTACACTCACCACCCGCCCAGACAATGGACGGGGACCGGAGGGGGGAACGTTGAAACCACGATTTGCAGCATCAGTAGGTTTCTCAAGGTGGGCGTGCGGGGGAGGGGGTGATTAAAGTCCTCTCCTTCTGTACCCCTCCCATCCCTTCCTCAGCTCACCAAGGGGAAGTTACAAGGGGATTTATCACGAAAAAGTGCCGGCAGTTATTTCATCCCAGAGCTAAGCGAAAGAAAAACTGCTCGGGGCGCAGTGACGTGGACTTGGATACCCAGAGACAGGAGGAACTGTCAGAGGGCGAGAGTCCGCCGCCTAGCTGGGAGTCGCAGGGACAAGCGGAGAGCGTCAGGCGAATCCTGCCCACGGGCCCCTGCAGCCACAACCCCGGAGCCCCAAGTTCTTGGAGATTCACCCAGTTTCCCCAGCTTCATGCCCAAACTTGAGCCAACCAGCCAAGCCCAAACGTGAGGCACAGGTGACCGAGCCCGGGGACAGCTCTGTGCCGGGACAGAGGTCCCCTTACCTCATCCACGCGCCTAGGCGCACTGCCTCGGGGGTGCGAGGCTGGGACGGGGACCTAGGAAACTGCTCCAGGCCCACGTCTGTCTGGGGCTGCTCCCAGGCCCTTGCTCACCTGGCCTGAGGACGGTGGCGGAGATCAAGAGGCAGAAGAGCAGACGGCAGGAGCTGGCCCCCTTGGATTCCATATTCTTCCTCCTTCTTGGAGGGCCACTGACGGAGTCCACGCCGCAGGAGGGGGCGTCGTCCCGGGCCCCGCGGTGCCCGCGCGCTGGCGGGTCCCGACGCAGGGGCAGCGTCTTCTCCCAGACACACGGTCCCCTGGGCTGTGGCGCTGCACCTTCGGGTCTCTGCCGCACGCAACTTTCCACCACGCAATGCCCCCAACTCCTCCTCCCTCCCGCTCAACACCAGCCCACTGGCCCTTCGGCTGCTCCGCCGGGGACAACGACCCTCTCTTTCCAGGAGACACTTGAGTAATTCGGGAAGGTGTAAGCGGTTCTTTTCGCTGGTATCTTCTTTTATTTTCCTTGTCTTGGGATGATAATAATAATGGCAGAGGCAATGTGCATGAAACGCCGGGTGCTAAGAAGGACTCGCAGGAGGCAGCAACGGGGGGCGGCGGGTCTCCTCAGGTGGCAGCGGTGGTAGCAGTGGCAGCGGCAGCGGCGGCGGCAGCGGCGGCAGCGGTCTCCGGGCTGCTCTGAGTAGAGGGACTGGAAGGCGTGTGTAAGCTGCCTCTTTCCTCCTCTCCCCGCCTCCTCCCTCCCTCCGGTCTCCTCCCCACTTCCCCGGACGCGGCGCAGAGCAGGTGGTTGAAGCAAGGATCCGCAGCCTAGAGGCGCTGCAGGACTGAGTCCGAGCCCTGAGCCCAGCTCCGGGATCGGGGAGAACCATGTGCCCCTGTCCTAGCGTCCGGGTGGGCGGGGTTTCACCGCGGCTCCGCCCCCAGGTCCAGGTCCGCCAATAAGGAGAAAGCACAGGAGCCGCGCGCGCCCGGGAGAGCCCTGGGACTAACACTTTCTATGATGTTGCAGCGCGGTAGTGATAAGGCCTTTGGCTTCCAACGGCCCACCCACCCTCGCTGAGGTTTAAAAATCGACTGCCCTCTTCCTCCACCCATACGCCCATCTCACTGACTCATTCCTCAGGGATTTTTCTCCGCGGTGCTGCTGCAGCCTTCTGTCCTGTAAAGACAATAGTGGGGCAGGGCGGTGGCGGTGGGGAGCGAACTTTGGGTCCAAGAGCTGTAGTGAAGGGAAAAGGAAAGGGCAGGAGGAAGTGGCAAAGGTGGAAACTTGCTTCCTGGGAGTTAACAGGAATAGCTACTGGTTGGCAGAGGCAATCCCCGTACTGGACTGATTCCTCCTGTACTTTTCGAATCTCTCTGCTCCCCCTGCTCACTCCCACCACTTCCCTCACCCCCGGCTGGCATAGACTTTGTTTTAAAGGAAGACCACGTGAGTCGACTGCCCGGTACCAAACAGAAGATATTTGTTTTTCCCGGGGGAAATTAAATCCGGAATTTCTAAACCGTACTTCGTCATACGGATTTTCCCAATGTCTACAAAAGCCCTCTAGAAAGCTTGCCACTTTTTTACTTTGAGTTAAGCGGTGATTTTAAGTTACAGACAGAAAATTATCAAATTATTTCAGATTAAAAGCCAAGTCCATCTTGGTCCGTTCTCGAAAACCAGGCACTCCAGCAGATGGACAGGCTTCTCAGGCAATTTCTAAAGATTGAACCACCTCCCAGGCGGAACATCGGGAAGCTGTGTCGCTTTCAAATCAGGCAGAGAGCATGAAGGGATATTTTCCTCTAGAACACCGGGGTGGAGCTGTCGGAGCCCTAAGTGGCTCTAAATCAGGGATGCAGGATCACAACTCTCATCACCAAAGAATAATAAAATCTTGGTCCCTGAAGCACTTCGCTGGGGCATTAAATAGTCTTTCGTGCATCACAGGGTCACCCTTTTGTGAGACTGGTCTCCAGTAGAGGATGCCAACTAGTAATCGTTACATACTGCACTTTCATCAGAAGACTGCGAGTTACCAGCGAGACTGGAGACTCGCAACACACACACACATACACACACACACACACACACACACACAGATTTTTTAAAGTATTTATCTTTTAGTGCTCTAAACTATTAAGCCCCATCTTCAGCTGTAATTTTTCTCAAAAGCCTGCTTGTCCTGTTCGTCCAGTTCTTCTTACATTAACAATATTCTAGAGTAGAACTCTTATACTGTATTTTTTTTCTCTCTCAAAATAAGTAGTTTCTCCCACTTGGTTTAAACATTAACATTTCATTTGCATCTTATGAATCAACAGGAAGGCTATCGCTAGGAGGCAAATGCCTTTTAACTCTATATTCCATGAGCTAAGTTTGGCTGAAATGCTAGCATTTCCATGGACTCCTTTATAATTCCTTTAGGGAATTGTTTTCTTTTTCACTGTAGCTATAAGTGGGGTATATTAGAATAAATCGTCCTAACAATATGTTTAACCTAGGCCCGCGAACCCTCTATTTGACCTCCTCTATTTTGCAGTGGGAGTTAATACAGCCTAATTGTTTAAAAGTAGATTTGCAAAAGGAAGACTGATTTGGGCTCTGACACTAACTGTAGGATCTTGGTCAACCCATTTAACCTCTCTAAGCTTCAGTCTCCTTTCTTGTAAAAAGTGGTGATAGTGCTAGCCTCATAGGATTGCCGTGAGGATAAAATGAGATCAAACACACAAACACATGGAATTCTGGGGGCAACTGACAATACAAATATGTCCATATTATACTCATACACATAAACATGCATCTATATATGTGCATATGTATAACATATATTTGAATGTGTAGTCCATTGCTTCCAGAATTGTTTTTAGAAAGGAATATGTCCTAGTTTAGGAAAATGCCGTGACAAACCACTTGGAATAGTAACTCCAAAGGCTATTGGTCATAAAAAAATAATGGTGAAACTGCTCTATATTAAACAAAATAATAACCATTAAAATAGAAATTTGGCCTGGGAGTGGGGGCAAAGGCAACCACACAAAGCATGAGTTTAAAAATGTTCAAAGGTCGTTAGATCTATTAATTAGCAACACTTACATGTTAGAATATTCTAAGCAATTTATATGAATTAGATGTATTCCCCTCATAAAAAGTTATTGAAGGAGGTGCTATTTTCATCTTCATTTTACTCATGAAGAAACTAAAACTCAGAGACTTGAAGCAACTTTTCCAAGGTCACGCAATGATTCATAGCAATGGTAAAGCCAGGGTTCTACCCTAGGCATTCTTATTCTTGAACTGAATTCCAGTCTACTTTGCTCATCGCTATCCACTTTGCTTATCAAGAATGCATAACAATAAATGTATGGCTTTTTTGGTGGGGTGATTGATTTAAACGTAAGTTCTCTCATCCTTTCACATACATTTTCATTAAGGAAATTTACTAATGAAGCAGCACACCCTATCTGCATAGGCCAGGTACGGTGCATATGAGATGACAAGACCATTTCTAAACTGAAATAATGTAGCATAAGCAAGAGCTCAGAGTTAGAAATAAACATGAGAATGTAAGCTCCACAAAGTAATATAATAGAATTTATCTTTCAAAATCTAGTCAATGTGGGATTGGATCCATCTTACTTAATTCTTGAGAGGAAGAGTGTTTCCAGCTACATGTAGATCACAGTCACTTTGGTTACAATTGAGAATACATAGTACTCCAATAATATTTATTGTATAGTTTAGTCATGCATCAGAGCATCATAAGGGTACATCTTGCTGAAAGGGAAAAATGAATAGCATTTATCCAGGGGGAAAAAATTTCACGTTACCTGGGACATGAGAAGAGCTTTGTATTTTAAGTATAAAGGAATTCATCATCAATCAGGATGATATGCTCAAAGCAGTGACATGGTACCAGAGGCAAGTTTCCTACTTAGGGTCTGTTGAGATCAGGACCCAGGATTCCCAAGGCTCAGGCCAGGACCCCTTCCCTGTACTAAAATTTTAACCCCATCAGTATGTGACAACATAGCCAAGTCAATTGTGTGTGCATTTGAAGAATGGAAGTAGTTTTTCTCCCCTTATTAGTCACCACAAAATTTCCACTGGAGATGAAATTTCAACAAAGATAGTTTTGGAAGCTGAAAACATTTGTTCCTACCACTGTATATCATTGTGTTTTGTTTGCCTTCCTACTCCTTGAACAAAATTGTATACAATTCAAGCGCATGCAACAAATCTGATTCACTCTTCTCTCCTTCAACCCTCACCTACGGTGAGTACATGTTCAGCCATACTTTAAAAATAGATTGGACACTTGATAAATTTTTGTGAATGAATGATAAGTGATGAGAAAAAATACCTAATAAAATATAAACCTTCAAACAAACTTACAAGGGTTCATGTTATGAGAAGATGAAAGGGGTATCCATTGGGTCTTCAATGATTGGTCTAGGCAGACTAAGGTTTAGGAAAGGCAAAAAGAATGAGTCAAGTCCTAGTCAACAAGGTGATAACTTTGAAGTATAAAGTGAGGAAACAATCTATGGGAGAAAGACTGTACTAAATTATGTGCCATCAATTAGAATAAAACAAAATGGCCCATGCTGAGCACAGAAACCTGATTAGTAAAGGTTCTAAGTGACCAGGCAAGGGCTTAGGCTAATGTACTGATGACAAAGATTGAAATAAAGGCCTAAGTGGGATTTATATTAAGTCTAGGAAGATACACAACTTTAAAGAGGCACAGAGATTACATCTGTATAATATAAATTTCTGTTTTTTTCTAGACTCCAAGTTTTTTTAAATAAATGATTTCTAATGTTATTGCATTAAATATACATGGAGGACCTCTGGGTATATCTCTTCCTGAGTCCATTGAATTTTACTGTTTAATTTCAATTGTTAACCGTGTCATCTGTCAATGAATTAATACAATTCTGCAACTCACCTTTTCAATAATGCTAGCTAATAAAGACATATCACTGAAGCTCAGGAGAGTAAAAACTTTCAAAGTCTATGATAAACATTATGTTCTTATTTCACAGAACGTTCAGTCTAGGTACAAAAAGAAATGCATAGCTATTTCAGTTGAACTAGAAATCCACTTAGTCATTTTCCTTCCTGTCTCAGACATGAGGAATGAAGAAAGAATTTAGCTACGCTATTTGACTATGAAACTTGCACTAGATAAAATGAATTTCAAAAACTCTCAGTGTATTAAAAACTCATAATTCGTGGGTGATTTCAGTAAGTGCATAAATGCACATACAAAAAGTGTAACAGTCTGGGTTTACCCCTTAACTTGAGGGTTTCTCTTCCGAGTGTTCCCACTTTCAACTGAAATAAGCAGTTCTTTTAGTTTTGAGTAAGTAGAAAATGACTCAAGGTATGGTTATTTAAATGTTTGATGCTTTAAAAGAAATTCCAACTTGAATTATATGTTTTCAAGAAGTTTCCCAGAGTTACCTCTAATTTCTTTGATATATATTGATGACTCATTGTGATCTGCAATAGTTCTATTCAGGAATATGAGGTGAATATATAATGACTATAAAAATATGAAAATAATGTATATTTGATTTTCTAAAGCAAAAACGTCACCTTGGATCTAATGGATTTCTAGAAAGTCAAATTAATTAATTAATTACTAGGCCCCAATTATCCATACTATTTTCCCCTTAAGTAAGATAGTTAAGCTTGCAGGAAAGTATTAACAAACGATTGTTGGACAAGTGTATGTTTTTGCTCCCTAAAGAGCAAAAACTCTTTATTGTTGATTAGCAAAAAAAGAAGTATTAATAACATGGAGTCAAGGATCATTGATCATATACTATAAGCAAGAACTTTCGAATTTTAATACTTTTCAGGGCCTTAGA